ACTCTTGAAAAGCCTTTGACAACAATTATTAAAACATTATTTTTCACTTAGTTTCACTGATTTTGTGAGGTTTCACTGATTTGGTGGAGTGGAACGGTTTTGCTGCAGTTGGAGTTTCGTATGTTAATGAAAACAAAGCAACTCGTGCTTCCAATTCGTGTTCATAAAAAAGTTTCTATCAATGTTTCCCCAAAGGCGGAAATCGCAAGCGGCAGAATTTCATACAGAAATTTCAGGTGAAGAAAATTGTAAAATTCACATGAGTTCAACTTGCTTCGCTTTGTCTAGGATGGTTTATGGCACGTAAACTCACCAGATTCAAATGAATGTAATTTTGTAATAGTTTCTATATATTGAAAGTTGAAGATTCGCCACTGACCATTTTGGCGCATTAAGAATTTGAAAAACTGTTTGGAAAATGTATTTTAAAGACCATAGCGTTAGCAATTTGCATATTTGTCGCTTTTGAAGAAACTCATCGAAACTTGGGTCTTTTATGAAGATATTCAACGTGTTTTATTCTTCATAATGCACATTTTTTCTGTAACCCATTAGAGTGCAAATGTGTAGAAATTAAAAGTGTTTATTTTGTATTGCTGAGTAGATCATTAAATTCATGAAAATGTCCGTATATGTCAAAGTTCAATGGAAAATAGAAAACTTTTTGTTTTCCTCGCTTGGTGCCAAGGAAAAATAAGGGATTCAGTCCAAGAATAAACATCAAGCGGCTTCTGCAAAATTGTAAGTAAAAAACAACATTTTCCATTGGTCGACTTCCCATAGTGATTCTTTGCATCTTTAGAGTGTTTACTGATGTTTACACGTGTATGGGAAACTGTATTAACTTTTTAATGAAGCGGATGCTGAAGTTTGCGATCGTTGTAAAAGTTTGCGGGGCAACAGTGTGGGTCGGTTAGCCGCAAAATAAACATAAAAGTCCCCGTTGGATTACATTGTTTATATTTAAAAATATTCACATCTGGATGTGCAAAGGAAACCCGATAAACCGATTTAAATGTGTTTATATTTGTTTCAGACAGTCGATTCTATAGACTGGAAGTTTGGTGATTGAAGGGGCTCAGGAAAATGTGTGCTTCTTGCGATATTTATTAGTTTTCAATGCGGGTGAAGACAATTGTTCTGATGATGGCTGGACGGATTGGCTGTTTGCTGTGGCTGATCATGGTTTCCGCTACTCGGCAAGCTACCGAAGGTAAGAATTTTTTTCTAGACGGTTTTAAGAGCACAAACCTAATGGTAATTCAGCAATCAGTTCCTCGATCAATTACATTTTTATTATTTACTTCCCGATAATATATTAATTAATCGCTAAACAAGACTTAAAGCTCAAGCAATTTAAACGCGAACTGCAAAGACATCTAATACATTTTAATGAGCGCAAAACTTCGAATATTGTCCAAAGCCCTTTGTGCTTCGGCTCTCTTTCTTTATCCGGGAATTTATATAGAATGAAATAAGATTCTTAATGCTGCCGAGTACCCATTAACAATGTAAGGAAAAATATTGCACGGTTATAAAGCGTAATCCAATTACAGTGTGCAGCATTATTTACGATAGTTATTAAATAAATTGGAGCGTCAGCAGATAAGCTGGCGATAATCACTGAGCCGTCAAATTCACCACCAGAAAATGGAGTACGTTAGTTTTTATAGTTTGTGCTGGCAAAATGCGATTTCATACATCAATTGCTCTCAAATCGTTCATGGATTTGGGGAAAAAGCAATCTTCCACGGTTTTCCAGTACAAAAGATAAACGGCAATTTATGTGTCTAAATTAAATGAGTTAATTGGAATTGATTGGGTTTCAATAAATTGCAAAAATGTAGATGAAACTCCCAAAAAACTTATATAAAACCATGAGCAAATGATAGCAGAACACGAAAATAAAAACACTCTATTTATTGAGCTATAAAACTGTGCGGTTTCAGTATTGAATATAGTAAAAATCATCTCATAATTGTCAGTGAAAAGTATTCATTTACTCAATAATACCACTGAAAGACTATGACAAGAAATAGAGCCACTATCTGTTGACTGATAAACAATAGGCATCTGTTGCCACCAAATATCAACATTATAACATAATTTTATAGCAAAGTAGAATTCTTACGCAAAACACACCCAATAGGAGATTCAAATAAATCGCCACCAGAGAAGTGGTTTGAAAATTGACAACGCGTTAATCGGCTTGAGGAATACCGTTGTGCACTTTGTGTAATTCTTCTCGAAAGCAGTTGGGAATCCGATGCAGTAATCACGAGTTGATCCACAGAGTGAGGCTTAAATCTCCGTCTAAAGCCGAGAATATCCTGTCCGTTCTGGCGAGAAGGTGCAAAGATGGATGCGGTTATTTGCTTTCCGGGCTGCTAATCCCACCACCGAACTACTTCATTATAATTAAACAAAAAGTAATTAATCCTGACGATAGAATGTGAACCAGCCGCACTAGTCGTATATTAGTTTAACTAATACATGGGTTTAATTATGGAGAGCCGAGTGCTATATCTATGTCGTCTACTGTCTACTTAAATCATAATAAATTGCTTTATTACATAATTCAATGCTTTGCTACATGTTCCATTTGGACATTCCGCGCTTTAGCTTTAATATTGGATGTCTTGAATCCGGTCTTCCTCATAATGGCCAAGTGCATTTGAGTTCTCAATAATTCGTCTTACATGTTTTAGTCATTAGTTCCTTTATAATCGCTTATACTAGTTTTAAGTGACATTTTCTCTTAAGGACGGTGTTAAGGTTGATTTACATAAAGCCACTTCAACGCGGCTTAGAGCGCTTTACGTTTTAGTCGCCCGATGTACAAAAACGTCTATTTAAAAACGTTGAGAATAATTTTTTATATTTTTCTTTAAATCTTACTTGATACTGTCTAAATGCTCTTTTGTGATCCCAACTAATCGATATGACGGACGTAACACTTGTAATAATATAGAATATACGGGGCATTGAAATTAGATTCGCATTTACCAATCGATAAATGCAATCAAAAGAAAAGGTTTTTGGGTAAGTAACCATTCTTGATCTTTATATCATAGTTCAAAAATCCACTGATATACAAGAAACTTCTAAACAATTTGGAAAAATTTAATATTCTACCTTTACCTTTCCGTCTAAAAAAATTGTTAACATATTTTTTGTTTTCCGGTTAGAGTTTTGACTGGTTTGAACGGTTTTCGAAATCGGTAATCATGTGAAATATTCAATAGAAAATTTTTTGGATTTCTTACTTGAATTCTTCTAGCCTTGATCCTTCCCATATTCTGGTTGAAAAATCCTCTTATGCAGAGAAAACTTAATATAAATATGAAATTTGAGAAATTTTCCTTTTCTGTCTACTCATAATTTTGCGCTTTTGGTTTAAAAAGCGTTGTATTGGCATTTTTTTTGCTTTGCAATTAAAGTTTTGACCCCCTTAGACGGTCTTCTAATTTCCCTAATTAAGTAAGCCGATTTTTTGGATCCCGAATTGAACAATTCTGCTACAAAAATTCTTTTATGCACAAGAGATTTCTGTCAAATTTGAGGAAACTTTTCGATCGATCGAAGTGGAGTGAACTTGCGTGCTTTTCTTTCTTGATTAAATATTTTATAACAACTTTTTTTTGTCTTCCAATTTGTTTTTGACTGCTTTGGACGATTTTCTAGATTCGCTAATTAAGTGAAGATTTTTTATCGCGAATTAAACATTTTTGAGATTTATAATTTGGAACCCTTCGATCGATTCGTGTACCAGAAATTTATATAAAATTTGGGAAAATTGCCTTTTTTTATCACCTTCATCGCATTTTTGGGCTTTTTGTGTGAAAAATTATTTTTTTGTTTTAAAATTAGAGTTCTGACTGCTTTGCACGATTTCATAGTTTCAACGTTTATCTTCTCGTTTAAAAAAAAATTGTTAACACATTTTTTGTTTGCAATTAGAGTGTAAATTTCTTTGAACGATTTTTTAGATTGAGAAATTAAGTGAAAACATCTTTTGGATATTGAATTAGTAAGTTTTAGGATTTGTTACTTGAATCCTTGTAGTCTTGAGCCTTCTCATATTCTGGTTGAAAAATCCTCTTATGCAGAGGAAACTTATATAAAATTTGAGAAATTTTCCCTTGTCATAAAATCGCTTCAAAAGCGTTTTTATGACATTTCTTTTTTAAGTTTTTGCTTCCTTAGACCGGTTTCTACTTTCTCTCATTAATTACAGCGATTTTTCGAATTTCGATTTGAACAATTACGCTTTAAATATTTTTTTATGCACAAGAGATTTGTGGAAAGTTTGGTTGACATATTCTGGTTGAAAACGCCATTTCATCTTCATCGCACAGTTGAGCTTTTTGTTTAAAAGCCATTTTGTCTGACTGCTTCGTACGATTTTCTAATTTCGCTTATTATATGAAGGAATTGTTTTAATCGCAATTTAAACATTTTTGAGGTTTCCAATTTGAGTCCCTCCATTCTTGTTCTTTCTCATATTAGGGTTGAAAAATTCATTCATGCTTAAGAATGTTCTATAACATTTTCGAGAAGTTGAATTTCTTCATCTTTTTGCTTAAAAATAAAATTGTTAACATTTTTTTGTTTTGCAATTAGGGTTTTGACTTATTTGGACGGTTATATTGATTCTGTACTTATGTGAAACGATTTTTTCAATATTGAATTGATTTTTAGGATTTCTAACTTGAATCCTTCCATTGTTGTTTCTCCTCATACTCTGGTTCAAAAGTCTACTTATGCACCAAAAATTTCTAAAAAATGTTGGGAAATTGCCTTCTCTATTTTCAACGCAGATTTGCACTTTTGGTGTCAAAAATAATTTTATAAACGAATTTTTTCCTTTGCAATTAGAGTTGTGTGGACTTGATTTTTGGTATTTATATAAAAGGAAAATGTAAAATTTATCGAATATTGAAGTGATTTTTAGAATTTCTAACTAAATCCTTGCGTCTTCTCAAATTCCTAGTTCGAAAGTTCATACCGTTTTTGCTCTTGCCATTTCCAAAAAACATCTAAATAAAATTGTTTTTATTTATACACTATTATGCAACAGCGGTTAAACGTCTACGGATTCAAATTACCAAGCGGTTAGTGCTGAATGGTGAGCCTTTAAATTCGACTAGCATCTCTTTAAATTTACGTTTTTCCTATATTTATCTCACTTTTGTGTTTTGTGTTTTGTTCTTAAAAATCTTTTTTGCGATTTTTTTGGGAGTCCACTTGAGTCAACCGACTGCAAAAATTTCGCATTAAACTCCGTTCGCTTTTAATAATTTTTAATTTATTATTTCAATGGTCAGCATAAAAGGCCCTATTCATAAGCAACCGAAAGATTGCAGCCAATTACTTAAAATGATAATTTAATTTCATTCACATTTTTCAACTGACTGGAATCTACTTAAGTTAATGGCAGCAGTTCAATGGGCCGCTGCAGTTAAACCCTGTTAATTTCACTAAAATACACCTCGTTATAAAAATGAAATGGTTTTCGTTCATTTTCTTTTCACCTTCAAAGGGCGCTCTACTTCCTGCTGCCTTCTTCCAATGAAAGTAACCATTGAAGCATGGCGAGTGAAAATACTCTCCTTCAAATCCACTGTTTTGAAGCAAAAACGTAATTACTTTTTTAATGGACTTTCTTGCCAGACAGTTTTGTCCTTAACATCGGGGTTTTGTAAAGAAATCGCTAATTGTCTGTCACTTTTATCGCATGTAACAAATCGACCTAAGAACCGAGGTTATTAAACTGAAAATAATAAACATTGTGATTCAAACTTATTTTGAGGTTTTTTCTGTTGCACTGAGTAATTTTAATTTTGTAGCTCTAAATAAAAAAAACCCAAACTAGACAAACTTCTCCTTGATTTTCTGGACGTTTTCGCACCTATTTTGATTCAGATCCTTTGCTTCAGGGCTTGGTAACGTTCACTAAACGGACAAATCTATAAAAAAATCATTCTGCACTGATGAAAGATCGAACGTGTTTTTTTTCTGCCGAATCTCAATTATTTTATGAACCGTTCAGCAGCAATGAAATCGAGTAAATATTTGAAAAGATTTTCTCCAATGTTCGTTAGCGTTATTGCTCGGGCGGAAATCCACTCAAGCAAAGTACTCACAATGCAATGGATTATGAATCCAATACATTGCTTTGCGTCTATTAAGGTCGGAGTTGAGGAGTTGTTC